AAAAAAAAGATAAATTGAAATCCATGTTGAATAATTTAAATTGAAAGTTAAGAATATACGGGACAGAGAAAAACACCAATTGAAATTTATAGTGAAAATATGAATTGGAAGCTAAGAATGTACAGGAACTTTGGAAACAGCTGTAGGCGAGGAAGGGGGAGCTGAACTGAGCCATGGTTGGAGCTGGGAGCAGTGGAGAGGGATTGGGGATCAAGGGGCAATCTCTGAGAAGTTCTGCTGTCTGATGCTGCTCTGGGGACACTGTGTGATGGGTGAGCCCTGCTGATGCAGCTGCAGCTCTTGCAGCCTTGGAGCAGCTTATTCAGAGCTGGTTTGGGCATCCCCATCCCTGGATCCTGGGGCTTGTCTGGGCCGTGGCACAGGGGCATAAACACCCAAGGAGGGGGGACATGAAGTGCCATCGTGGTTGCCCAAAGCCACCAGAGGTGTTTGATGATGTTGGAACTGATGAGCTTCACACAGGAGTGAATTCACACACTGCAGGGGCAGGAGCCTGGTTGGGGCTCCTAAAACACCAGAGGAAGTTCAGCAAGTGCCAGATTCTGCCCCTGGGATGGGGCAACCCTGAATGTATGGACAGAGTGGGAATGAGAGGCTGGAAAGCAGAGCCAGGAAAGGGCCCTGGGGGTGCTGGTGGGTGTCAGTTGGCCCTGAGGCAGCAGTGCCCTGGCAGCCAGGAGAGCCCACCCTGTCCTGGGGGGCATCAGAGAGGGGATTGTCCTGCTCTGCTCTGCCCTGGGGCGGCCTCACCTGTAATATTGGGGCAGTTTGGGGTGAATATACAAAATGAGCAAGATATTGAGCCATTGGAGAGTGTCCAAAGGAGGCAACAAGGATGGGGAAGGGCCTTGATTTGGAGCCGTGTGAGGACACTGAGGGCACTTGGTGTGTTCAGCTGCAGAAGAGGAGACTGAGGGGAGAGCTCATTGCAGTTCCAACTGCCTGGGCAGGGGCAGAGGAGGGGCAGGACTGAGCTCTGCTCTGGGGGGAGCAGGGACAGCCCCCAGGGAATGGCTGGAGC